TTTTTTTTAAAGATTTTATTTATTTATTTGACAGAGAGAGAGAGACAGAGAGAGAGGGGACACAAGCAGGGGGAGTGGGAGAGGGAGAAGCAGGCCTCCCGCTGAGCAGGGAGCCCGATGAACATCTTTATTTCTTTACCCAGCTTTATTGAGGTATAGTTGACACACAGTATTATAAGATATTTAATGTATACATGGTGATGATTGAGTATGTATCCATTGTGAAAGGATTTCCCCATCAAGTTATGAACACAACCATCACCTCACATATTGACCTTTTTTGTTTTTCTTTTGGTGAGAACATTTCAGTTCTACTCTCTTAGCAAATTTCAGTGATACAATACAGCGTTACCAACTATAGTCACCATGTTATACATTAGATCCTCAGACCCTATTCATCTGATAGCTGGAGCTTTGTACCCTTTTACCAACTCTCCCTATTTTTCCAGCCCCTTCAGCCCCTGGCAACTGCTTTCCTGCTGTTTCTAGGAGTTCAAATCACACACACACACACACACACACACACACACGACATCATACAGTATTTGTCTTTCCCTGTCTGGCTTACCTCACTTTAGCATAATGCCCTCCAGGTTCATCCACGTTGTCACAAATGACAGAATTTCTTTCTTTCTTAAGGCTAAACAACATTCCACTGTGTATATATATATATCACATTTTCTTGATCCAGTCATCCATTGACAGACACTTAGCTTGTTTCCCTACCCTGGCTATTATGAATAATGCTGCCGTGAACATGGGAGTACAGAGATCTTTTCGAGATAATGATTTTGTTTCCTTTGGAGCTATAACCAGAACTGGGATTGCTGGATCGTATGGTAGTTCTATTTTTATTTCCTTGAGGAATTTTCATACTGTTTTCCACAGCGCCTGCACCAGTTTGCATTCCCACCAAGAGTGCACAAGGTTCTCTTTTCTCCACATCCTCGCCAACACTTGTCCTCTCGTCTTTTTGGTACTAGCCATCCTGACAGGTGTGAGGGGATAGCTCATTGAGGTTCTGATATGCACTTCCCTGCTGATGAGTGATGTGGAGCCTGTTGGCCATTCAACACTCTTTTTTGCCAAAGGGTCTGCATGTATCAACTTTTAAGTATTAGGTTTCTCTTACCTTGCTTACATATCTAAATAAAGATTTGTGTGATTTTCTTTTCCCCTGAGCTTAAATGAGGAAGAGTCAGCGTGGCCCGAGGGGATTCATGGTGGGAAGACAAGGAAATGGGAGCTAAGGAAGAGGAGAGCAGACAGGAGGAGGCCTGGGCCGGTGAGGAACTGAAGGCATCAGGGAACAGCAGGGGCAGGTCCTCTCCTTGTCTTTAAGGGAGCATGGCTTTCTCTTCAGCTCGGAGACCGGGCTGCTTCCCAACAGGCTCGGGAGGAAAAATGGCCCAGCGGGTCTCCACAAATTGATTTCATTTCATTTTCTGCCAGAACTGCAGGACCTATAATTTCATATGCTTACCCTTTGCGTAAGGAAGTTCATTTCCTAAATTCTGTCCAAGTCGCCCGAGGCCCGTCAGCGGCTCCGCATCACTGAGTGGGGGTGGCACCAAGTCCTCCAAGAGTCGGGGTCATGCGTCGTCTTCTTGGGCCACAAGCCCAGGGTCAGAGCAATCGTGGACCCTGTGCCGAGCCAGCCAGCTGGGGAGTCAGGGAGCTGTTTGGTGTTAGCCAGCAGACGGGCCGCCCCATTTTGTCCTCCATAATACAAGCCACGTTTTATTTGATCGATTAGTAGAACCATGTGCTTCTGATCATGTGTCTGGGTACATCTACTAAGAAAAAAAGAAAAATGACCTGCAAAGTCAAAACGAGAACTTGGCAGGCAGGGGTAGACTAAGCCGCAGAGCGAGGTCGGCCGCACGTTACAGGAGGAGGGAGAACAGGAATCCCGGGCCCGAGCTGCTGCATGGGAAGTGAGCCACCTTCAGCTTCTCCGTGCCCTCGCTTCCATTATAAGGAAACCTGAGCAGGACAGAAGGACTGTGTTATTCACCAGAGCAATGACACACGCATTTGCTGGTTGATTGGGACATTTGGGCTTTTACTTCTTCGTGATGGACAGCATAATAATCTCCTCTCAGCCCAGTGTGCTGAATTTCAAAGTGCTTTCACAAGAGACTCTGCTGGAAGCTACTTGGGAGGTCCCTGGTTTTTCCCATCAGCCAGTCTTAATTGTCGGGAGAACAGCTCTCTTCCCTCCTTCTTGCCAGTCATGCTCTCTGCTCTTTGGTGTAACCCAACCTCCATGTGATAAATGCATGCCTCTCAGCATCCAGCTTTGCGTTTCAGGGAAAATAATACTAGCGCTGAGCCAGCCCCAAGTGTGGGGCTACATTTTTGGCCAGAGGAGCTGCCTGGGACTGTGAGAGCATCATAATGGAGGCTCCTGGCTGGCCGCCTCTTAGGGAGACCCTCTCCTCGTTTCTGCTGCCCCTTCCCTCACAGCGTTCCCCCACAGGCGTTTTCCTGAGTTCGTTTCCTTCAAATACGGGGTTTTGTTTAAGGCCATGACTGACCCTGTTGCCTCCCACCCTCAGTTTCTTGCCCAGTTAAAGCTCATGGACTACAGCCTCCTGGTGGGAATCCATGATGTGGAAAGAGCCGAACAGGAAGAGGTGGAGTGTGAAGAGAATGACGGGGAAGAGGATGGGGAGAGCGATGGTACCCACCCTGTCGGGACCCCTCCGGACAGTCCTGGAAATACACTGAACAGCTCACCGCCCTTGGCTCCAGGGGAGTTTGATCCAAACATTGATGTTTATGGAATTAAATGCCATGAAAGTAAGCTATTATCAACCCTTTTTATCTACGAAATGGTTTGATTTTTGCCTTGTTTCCTACCAGTAACTGTAATCCCAGTTAAAAGTATGCTGCCCTCCAAGACTTATTCTCCAGAGTCCCAGTAATTGATTCAGGGACAAGAGTATGTTAAGAGGAACTGTAATCTCTGGTTTTGAAACATTATGTGATAAGGTCCTTGAGTTTTTTGATGTTGAGGAATAGTGAGCCACAAACTATTTTATGTATACAACACACGTGCACACACATGTAAAGGTAGCTAACATATAGAAGAAATGTTTGTAAATGTTTTTTTCTTAGCTATCTCTTCTGTGGCTCTAAAGGGTCAGGAATCTCTCCAGCACTAAGTACATATGCGGCCCCCTCTGAACCTCGCTCGGATACCCTGAAGGGCACACTCACTACCAGCCCTTTCCTGTTTAGGAGCGCTCAAGCTGGCCCAGGATGTGGGATGACAATGTCTGATTTGCTGTCGTGTCTGTCCTCTGCTGAGTCACCCCCCCACTCCACCCCCATTAAAGGGTCTGTGGATCTCTTATCTAGAGTGAGCGTAATCTTAATCCTCAAAATCTGTATGACTGAGTATTTGAAGGAGTATTACCTTCTACCTTAGCTACTTACACATGAGAAAACCAAAATAATTTAGAGAGATGATAAATGCTGGCCTCTTATTTTTTGAGTAATAAAAATGATGATTCATCATTATTTAAAAAAAAAATCTCATGAGGCATATCAGCCAAATGAGTTTGTGTTTTTTATTTTGCTCACCAAAATTTTCTTCAACACAGAAAATCAGATGTAGTCAAATGTACTTTTCTTATTGTTTACAATTAAGACAGCATTATATTTGTGGAAATATGCAGAAGACCGATCTTACAGATGATATGTGCCTTTATCCAGTTCTGATGCTAGACTCAGTGAGAATCATGAACAGGCGTGCCTCTAAGTGGGTTCTAGAGCACCACAATAAGGCGAGTCACATGACTTTGCTGATTTCCCAGTGCATATAAAAGTTACGTCTACGCTATACTGCAGTCTGTCACGTGTGCATTAGCACTGTGTCTGTAAAAAACAACATACATAGCTTGTTTTTTATAAAATACTTTATTGCTGAAATATACTAACCATCATCTGAGCTTTCAGTGAGTTGTAATCACTGATCACAGATCACCATAAAAATATAATAATGACGAAGTTTAAAATATTGCTAGGATTACCAGAATGTGAGGTGAGCAAGTGCTTTTGGAAAAATGGTGCTGACAGACTCGCTGGACGCAGGGCTGTGGGTAAAGGAGGCAGCGTCTGCGAAGCAGTATGACTGTGATGGTAGACGAGGATTAAGGAGCAAAATTACCTCTACTGGTTGCATTTTAAAAATAGCACTTTTCTTTACACCAAGGCAATACATAATGATTAAGGAAAATGCAGATTAACAAAAAAATGAAAACAGTCTTGCCCTTGGACCTCTACTGGTAATATTCTGGGGTTATACTTCTTTTACTTTTTAAATTGAGAAGAGAATTGGGGACAGAGTCAAGCTATTTAACAGGGATATGCAGGAGTTACATGGACTTTTTTTTTTCCAAATTACTATTTTATTTTTTTATCACTTTTTTTTTTTTGTATCTGAGGAGAGCTGACTCACCACGTTACGTTAGTTCCAGGTCCACCGCAGGGATGGGACAAGCCCATCCGTGATGCGGTGCTCACCGCAGCGCAGCTACCGTCTGTCACCACACGACACCGTTACCGGCTCACTGCTTGTATTCCTTTTGCTGTGCCTTTGTCCTCACTCCCCCCGACCTCTTCCTTCTGTGACTGGAAGCCTGTGGCCCCCGACCCCCTCCCCCATTTTGCCTCTCTCTCCACCCCACAAACAGTGGTGGTTTTTAGAACGCACGTGTTTTGCCCCACAGTGTACCCCGCCTCCGTTGTCAGAGCCCGCGGTCCCCGTCCCGAATCCCTGACCCTCCAGCGGGGCTCTTCCCAGCCGCGTCACTGGTCCCACAGTCATTGCTCTCGTCCCTTTACAGACTCGCCCAGGAAAGAGGTGTACTTTATGGCAATTATTGACATTTTGACTCATTATGATGCAAAAAAGAAAGCTGCCCACGCCGCAAAAACTGTTAAGCATGGCGTAAGTATCTCCACTTTGTTTCCTTCTCTGCTCCGGGGCCCTTGCTGCGGTCTGTGGCGCGGGTACCGGCTCTGGCTGTCCCCTTGCCACCAAGCTGGCCGGAGCCCCTCGGTGGTTCTTGTTCTCTGGGGGGGTCACGTTCAGTCATGGTCAGAGTGCGAGATTAGAGGCGGCAAGTGCCAACAGCTCACGCTCGGGGCAAGTCACTTAAACTCAGCGGCTAGCCTTTTTACATGCTGGGGATATTCACAGACACGTGCATCTCTAGAATACTGTACAAATTCGGTTTTGTTGGGCAAATGCTTCAAAGATAACAGTGAAGACAGCTATTCATGTTTTCACATGAATCCTCAAAACTGACCCGTCAGACCTGAAGCACTATTCTGTGCCTCAGACTCTTCCCGAACATGCAGTATTATCTTTCTTTTTGTACAGTGAACTGTATTTTTTCTACTACGGAAATCTTTTGGGTGCCAGATCCAAGTTTAATAACATGAATTCTTCACTGTTACTGTGCTTGCTCTAAATTATCACCATTCTACACATATGGTGACCTGTGAATTCCCCATGACAAGCCTATGGCGGACACTAGTGTAGCCCTGCTTATCAGTTGAAGAAACTGAGGAAGAAAGCCTAAGCTTGTCAGGGCCACGGCACTAGAAAGTGGTAGAAATGGGACTGCTCCCAGAACCTAGCCCAGCCCCCTGCTCTATGCTAGTCCCATCCCCCTGCCCTACCAGCAAATCGCACCTGCCTGGTTGAACTTCACAAGTAAATACCCATTATGCTCGTATTGCAGAGATTCGTTTTGGCTTTCCAGGCATTGTTAAAAAAGCCAGAGACCCCATCCCATAGAGATGAACTTGTGCCTTGGCTTGTTCACACGGGAAGGAGAGGCGCCTCCCCAGTAGTGTGTACAGCCAACTGAGGAACACCAGAACATCAGCCTCGATTAAAGGCTTTTTCTGTATTTTAAAATCAAACAGGCTGTCCTCCCAGCAAGGGAACCAGCCTAAAGCCATACTCTATTTGCCAAAGAAACATTTTAGTTACATCATCAGCAACTATTTATGGCTTCCTACTGTGTGCAAAGCAGGGCCCGAGCCCTCACCCAGCTCACTGCCAGTGTCCGAAACCCCGGGTCGGTCGGAAAGGAGGGTCCCCGGCGGCTGGCATCGCCACCTTCAGAGTAGTGTTTGTGAACTGCGCGTGTGCCCGAGGCACCATCCCCCTTCCCGGATTCTGAGTCCAGTCCACGAGCGTGGGGGAGGTCTCGAAAAGGCTCTGTGGTAATTCCGATGCTCACCTCTGATCGAGAACCACGGGTATACTGCAGAGACGGAACTGTAATCCCTATTTTAGCGTTCCCAGTTGTATAACCTTGAGAAAACGCTTTGGAGCTTAAGGGCCCCAACAACAAAGGAGTCCTAACCCCTTGCTGACGGGGTTTAGTGGAGGACACCCGAGGTGAGCAGGTGCCATGTGTCTGTGCCCACCCCTCCTCACACGCTCCGCTGTATCACACACCATGTGGAACTGGAAATCGACCGGACCAAGCATGGCTCCATCTTAGTCTCCACTATGCGACCCCAACTCAGTTTCACGAGACACCACATGGCCTAAGACGGCACAGTTTGCAGGAGCAAGAAATTACTCTTGGCAAAGGAATGCTCTGGGCACTCTTCTCTGCCTTCAAGGCCTGGGGTCCTCCATGGAGATCCCCGTGGCCCGGGCCAGGCTAGGAAATTACAGGTTCCCCGGGGAGTATGGGTGTCCAAAAAGAGCACGTGGTGACTTCGTAAAGCTGGTCTTGCCCTCTGCAGCTCAGGAAACTGGCCGGTAACCACAGACGTTGAGTCTGGTCGCCAGCACTGCCTCCCATAAGGGGCGATCCCCCGCCAAGCCTGCGTGAGGGGCCCCCGCTTCCTTGCCCCACACAGGTCTCTGTGAAGGGGAACACTGGCACCCCTGTGCCCAGCGCTGAGGGAAGCCCGCCCCGGCCCCTCGGGGGGAGGCGCCATCAGCAGCCTGATGTCTCGCCTGGCTGTGAGTCCAGCTGACACGGATCCCACTGCTGTGGCTGTCACCCCTCTTTTGAGCATGCCGCCACTTACCTGGGTCCTGAAAAAGAAACCCGATCCTATGTCCCTGTTGTTTCCCTTTAGCCAGATGTTGCTGTTGGTGTCATTCTCAAGGGATCTCCAACCTGCTCTCCTGAAAAACAGCAAGATTGTTACGTAGGCCACACAGACTCCACCATGTGACAGGAACATCCCCAACATGGCTAGTTTGATTTTTTTTGTAAGCTGCCACAGTCACAATGTGGTAACAGCATCTGTTGTTACTCTGACTCTTAGCCTCACTTTCACAGATTCCTAAGAACGTTGATTATTCAGACACCATATCCAAGATATTCTATGTTTTAAGAACAGAGGCTGAGATTGGAAAAATATTAGCTTTGTATTTAGCTGCAATTGGAAATTGCTATAGAGACTAAGTAGTAATTATATGGATATTCTTCTCCTTTACAACTGCCTAGGCTGGTGCAGAGATCTCGACCGTGAACCCAGAACAGTATTCAAAGCGCTTTTTGGACTTTATTGGCCACATCTTGACGTAACCTCCCACATGGCCTTGGACGGACATGAGCACAGGAAGGAAAGAGGTGGCTTCGGTGTAGGAAAAATGAAAACCAAACTCAGTGAAGCACACCTCCTCGTTTACATCTTCAGGCCAAGATGACTGATTTGGAGGCTACTCGCTTTAACAGCTACCTGATATTTCCCAGCATCGTTCTAGCTATTTCTGACACGTGTGCGTGCGTGCGTGTGTGTGTGCCTGTGCGCGCGTGTATGCGTGTATCTTAAAAAAATAATTAATTAATTAATTAATGCAAACCGGTCAGCTTCAGTCAGAGTGCATTTGGGCAACAACCCTCTGATTCCAGCTGTGGATGGATGGATGGATGGATGAGCACATGTGGGGGGAGGGGGCGAAGGAAATGCATGTCAGACCAACCATGTTGGCATCACGCGATAAACTGTGGATCAGTTTATTTTTTGGAGTTGAAAGATGTGACAGTATTCATAATAATAATGAAGATAATAATAATGATGATAATAATGATGGTGATTAAAAGAAAAAAACTTACTGCGAATGTTACATTTCTACCACGCACGCGGACACTCCTTAATAGTTGCCCCCCAAGCCCCTGGCGCTGGGCGGGGGGTCGCTGGCATCTCCAGCACGCCCTGGCTCAGGGTTCTGCCTCCACAGTGTCGGGGCTCCCGGCGTCCAGGGACAAAGACCCCTCCTCTAGCAAGAAGCTGATGCCCCTAGTGACTCTTGTCTGTACATTTTCACCTCAGTAAGTATGTCCAGGAAAACTGCTTACTTCTCTTTTCTTGCCTGGAGCTTCTTCACTGTTACACTCTTATGTTGCAATATAGGAATTAATGCTACAAAATAAAAATAAAGCTTACCTGCAAAGTGCATAGTTTTGGGCAATGGTATCTACATCTCCTACAGTGGGAAGGTGAGCAGAGCATTAGAACTCTGAATTCTGTTAACGAAGGCAAATCTGAATTCTAAGATGTTTATGTTTCACCATTGGTTAAACAGTGGTATTTTGTTATCAATTATCCCTTTAACTGAAACCCTCAATTTTACTGTTTACATTATTAGGAAAACAGGGATATTTTTGAATCTAAAAATTTAATGTACAGCATGTGATTTTTTGAAGTTTACATGTAAAGTCATTTTACGGTGTAGGTGAAATAATGTTTGTCATATTTTGAAATGTATCCTGCAGTCATGTTTTTGGGTGAATGTTTTATTCAAGTACATGGTAGGCAGTCTTACACAATAAAAGGAAAAGGGTTGTTTTGTTTCCTCCAGATGTACATTTATCAACCTGATGATTTTTTTCTAAATGTTTAACCCAAATCTGGTTATGTAAGTTCATTGCCCTAAACTGTGCTGTGTTTTAATCAGTTTATAAATTTCCAACATCGATCATGTATTTACCAACTTTCTGGCATTTTCTGAAAGGCATCAAGCTAAAATATTAGACTTGCTTAGAGTAGGTTGTCAACTTATACACTGTGCTAAAGCTGTGCCTTTGAAATTCTTTGTTTAAAACATGAGATGATTTTTGTAGGCAGTTTCAGAAAAGAAAAAAAAAAATCCACCTTTCAGTGATTAGTTATAACTCCGCAAACCGCCCCTGCCATACTGCCTCTTCCAGGAACTTTACTTCAGGGCTTATCAAGACTGCGACTGTGCCCACTGGGTGTGGGTTTACTTCGGAGAACACGGTGATAGCAAATCAGGATCTCTGGAAGCCAGCAGCAACGCCATTCTATGACTAGTTACTGACTTCACCCAGGTTTGTTAGCCACGGTGGATAATGCTATCGCCACTGGGCCATGGTCATCCAAATCTGTATTTCATGCATTCAAATTAGTTGAGACTGTGATCTGGGCCCCCACTCCCCCACCATTCATCCTGGCATCGAGTCCCTTTCAGTGTTCTGAAGTTCTACGGTGGTTTCTTTGACCCAAGACTACAAAAGTGAGACCCTGAAGTAAAGATAAGGTACACATACATTATTTGAGTAACTATTTCCTTTGTGGCCAGTCTGTGTATGCTTTTAGAAGTTTACAAAATGCTTTATTTTTTGTAACAGTCTCTGTCGTTCATTTCTGTCGATAAACTATTTGGACAGAGTGAGGAAGTTTGCCTTGTATCTCCTAGTGCTAACAATACACTCCAGTCATGAGCCAGGCTTTACAAAATAAAGCACTTTGATGACTCACAAGGTGGATCCTTTGTTCCTCTCTCTCGATTGTGTTTCTCTCTATTGCAAATAAATTTTAAGTACTCGGTACTAAGACTACCTTTAGCTGATCCTGGAAGAAGTAAAAGTGAAATTGAATCAAATCTCTTTAGAGCTTTGCCTTCAACCTGTGAACTATTTTATTAGTAAATAATAGAAACTTCCCCACCAAAATGGACTTACTGCAAGATGGACAGGCAGAGAAAAGAAATCTCTTTAGTGAATACCTCTATAAAGCATACTGTTTTATTTGTAATTTTTACCAACCACAGTTCTGTGTCAGCATTTTTCAAAACTTTCTTGGGCTGCCCCTGGTGGACGGAAGGCTGTCTGACAGCATCCCACTGTCGCTGGCGCCAGGTGAGCAAACACAGTCCGTTGAGCTAAAGCACTTGTTTGGAAAATGCCTATTTGTTCTAATGCAATTGATCTATGAGGGAATGATTTGAGCATAACGTGCTTTTCCCATTTACTTGTGTGCACTTCGGTCCACCAGGAACATGAGATGAACACAGGAAATCACACGCCCCTCTCCAACATCACCAGCTCCCCCGGTGCCTCCCCCTGTGCGCAGTTAAAACGCTGGTCCGACTTGGGGTCCCTCCCGCCTCTGCTTTACAGCAGTCCAGAGATGCAGCCCTTCCGAGACTCTCTCCCACAGGTACCCTGCAGGTCCTTTTCAAGATAACCTGCCACATTTATTGGGGTATTTATATGTTTCCTGACCATTTAGCAATGCTGAAAACTGTACTACTGTTTTTATTACGTTCTTTTTTTTTTTTAACTGTATCAGTGATGAAGTTTTGGGGTGTTGTGCCCCTGCACCCCAGTATTCCCATGAGCTCTGTGGGTTTTATTGTGCCCAGAGCAATGATTTAATCTCCTGGACTGAATTCACCTTGGTCCCAGAAAATTGGTTACTGCTAATTCATAGAAGGACAAAAGCTGATAGGAAGCATTAATCCTTGATGCAGTGCTTTTGGAAATAAGCGATTAAGGGTTAAATGCAAAGGGACTAAGAACTGTGGATAATTAAGTGGTAATGTATATAATGTATACATGTATATTATGAAGCGGCGTAGTGAAGAGAAGGCAAGGCCAAGAGGTGGAAGATGGAATTAAACCCGGGAGTTCTTAACATCAGTGGACTCGGCAAGCCCCCAGCCACCACTGTACATGGAATGTTTAATTAGCACAAAATCAGCTGTCATGGTCTCTACTGCACATAAAAGCCTTCTTCCAGTTTGCAAAATAACACCCCCCATCTCTTCCTCCCTCCCCATCTTCTTAAACAGCACTCAATTCAGCTCCAGCCACATTATCTGGAGCTGCTATGTTAAAAATACAAAAGTCTCTCTCCCTAAAGGGCAGAAACTTGCTGGGCCTTGTGGATCCCCACGCACAGGAGTGACATGCGCGCAGTCCGCCTACTCACATGCCGACCGAACTGCTGTCTTTAAACAGTTGGCCTATCAAAGAGGCACTCCTGGTAAAGTGGCCCCGAAGACCAGGGAAGTGTCTCTGGGAGAGCAGAGTTGATAAGTTACTTAGAGCAATTACCGAAAGTTCTTTCATAAAAGGCAGCCCTAAAGAGTACAGTTGGGTACCTTTTCATCTAAGCCGAATGCCCTTCAGAAGTTTGTTTTAGTCCTGTTTCTGCGATTCGGTGAAAATCCTGCCAAAGGGCAGTTAAATGCCAGAGTCTATAATTTTCTCTCACTCTTACACACTTGTGTTTAGTTTAACTTCTTAAGAGAAGGGACAAGAGGTTAGGATTTCTCAGAATCCAGTGTGACAGATGTGTGTTACAGAATCCCACACCTCGTGCTGGAAGAGGTGTCAGAGATAAGGAAAGCCTGGCCCGCAGAAGCTCAGTGACTCGCCCGAGGTCACAGGACAGTTCACAGCAAAGCCCGGGCTGGCCCTCTGCCGCAGCTTAAGACTGAGAGTTGAAGGCTTGAATGATGGACCTCGTGCCCTCTGGCGACTCCAAGACCTCACCACCACCCTTCCTGGGTGAGCACTCCTCTTTCCCTAATCCCTTCTGCTGTGTTTTGAGAGCCCTCCCTGGCCTGCAGTCGCCTGCATTTCATGACAAATGTTCTACACAGTTCATTTTATGAGAGTTAATCTATATTATTCCACTTCTATCATTTTCTCTTAGTCCAACAGCTTTTTATTACTGTCACTTGACAATTTAAATCAAGGGGTCTCACTTCTGATGAATGGCCAGTTTGGAAAATACGGTCTTAAGTGGCTAATCCCTCCCACTAAATGAATCACTGATTTTAAATACTTTTTGCAATATGCTTCTTTCTGTCTCTCTCTCCTTTCTCTCTCTCTCTTCCTGCCTCCCTTTTCTATACTTAAAATATACAAACAAGGTAGCTTCTTACTGATTAGAGCAGCGAACCACAGCCTGAGCGCCAAATCCAGTCCGCCACGTGATTTTTGTAGTTTTACTGAAAACAGCTACATCCATTCGCATATTTCCTATTGCTGCTTTCAAGCCACAGTGGCAGATTGAGTTGTGACTGAGACCTGACACCCATAAAAGCTTAAAACATTTACTATAGACCTTTGCAGAGAAAGTCTGCCGACCCCTGAAACAGAGCCTCATTTTAGTACCACAGAGTAGTTTCTGCAAAACCACGGACTTCGGCTACAATTGCTATATTATCCACAGAGATCTTCCTCCTCCCACCTGGAGTTGTTGGGATTTTTTTCATTCTTTTACTAAAGCTGTTGCAACTTCATGGCTGCCCTCAGTTTTTATTGAAGTTATTAATGCCATTTGAGTTTGTTTGAGTAAATTGCTATGGTCATCTTAAAGTATGATCGCAGTCACCAGTGGAATTGACTATCTGAGAAATCCACTTACAAAAGGGGCATAACTTTAAGTCATTCAATCACTTTGTTAAAGTCCTATAAAAACAGATGACTGAGTTCTTCAACATGTGACATTTTCTTAACAAATTTAAGATATTCATATACACTTCAAAAAACCTTTTTTTGGTCACAGATAGTACTAGTTAAGGAGTCTGCGGCAACAAATATGTGCTACTTTTACCTAGTTTTACCAAAGATGATAGTACTAAAATATAAGAATTTGGTCAGACTGTGTTTACCTAAAATTTTCTTCCCCCTCAGGCTTCCTGGTAGTCTGGGGATGAGTAGCTTATTAGCCTGTGGATTTGGTGCCTTAGATGGCCTCAGATATTTTCCCCCAAAGTTCCAGAAGGGAGCTTCTTCCTGCTTTGGTTGTACTTACACATCTCCAAACCAAAGTTTGACCAGGCAAAATGAGGGAATTTTCCATTTAAATTCTGAGAACTCATCCTTCCACCCCATTCCACTCCCACTTTTTGTCCAGATTGTAAAGTTGATTTCTGAAAATCAGCAGGTCTTTCTAAGTTTCCAAAAATAAGTAAATAATCACAGAATGAATAGACCATGTTATTGCAATGAATGCAGATGCACTGCAGGGCGTGCAAAGCAGAGAATCTTCACATTGTCAAGCACAAGGCTCCCCAAACCAAACACTGAATGTTCAACTATGAAGCCATACATTTTTTTCTTTTAATATCGTCCTACATGGGCTTAGGAATTTAGCTTTTAATTAAACAAAGTGTCATAGGGCATTGCCTCTTTTTACCAAAAATAAGCATCAGCAAAAATGCCAAAATATACAAATGAACTGTATGTATTGATCACAGCTCTAGGGAACCGGATAGACTAAGGGACATTTGGGATTTGCTGACTGGACACACATCCATTGTTCCCATGTGGGGTGGGGGTAGGATACATGTGCCATGGATGTGTAGATGCTCTTGGCTTTTGGTCCTCTAAATGCTGTTGTATAAAAAGGTTTTTAAGTCATCAGTGTGATGAGATTTAATTTTGACTAATTAAAATTTGTCAAAAAAAAAAAAACTATTGACTCAGGGGTCTGTGTTGTGCTAAAGCGTTTTCCTTCACATTCTCTCACTTGAATGTCATACACATGGTTTTATTTTTAAATAAAAAATTTTATTTATTTTTATCCTCCTTTCACAGTGAGAAGACTGAGGCTCAGACAGGTTGGTAAACCCTCTGAGGCAGTAAGTCACAGGGCCAGCTCTTGAGCCAGGCCGTCTTAGTGTTCCTTGTACTGAATCAAGTGTTCTTTGCACTGTATCACATCACGAAGTTTCCCAAAATATTAAATGCCCTCAATTTCCTTCCATTTAATGCATGTGGAGTCAAACTGTCAACTAAAACTTTGTACTGCATCTGATTTGGACAGTCACGGTTGGCTTGGTTTCCCCCAGAGACCCCATGAAAATATTTGATCAAATACTAGTCCAGGTGTCGCTGGGAAGGTATTTTGTAGATGCGATTCACGCCTATGACCAATTTACGTTAACGAAGAAAGATTAGTGTAGATGATCTGGGTGGGCCTGATTCAATAAGGCCTTAAGAGCCGAACTGGGGTTTTTCAGAAGAAGAAATTCTACAAGTGGACAGTAGCTCAGCTCATGCCTGAGAATTCCAGCCCACCCTTCCCAACCAACAGCCTGCCCTCTGGTTTTTCAACTTAACCTAATAAGCCCTCACAATCATATAAACCAATGCCTTGCAATAAATCACTTAATAAACAGCTTTGACTGGTTGTGTTTTTCTGGCAGAACCCTGACTCATACTGATCTTCCAGAGCTTTTCCAATAAGGGGAAAGGGAATGGTGGAATAAAACCCTCTGAAAATCCACTTCTCCATGAAAGTAATCAGAACACTTGCAAAAATTGTCATCATCAACTTTTTCAGAACTCTGGATATTAGCCAAAAACCTGCAGCAATCTGAGGAGCTTTTATTCAAGAAAACAACTGGATCTTGGGAAGAAGTGAGCTTTTCATGTTTTATCTTTTACCTTATTCCCAGATACACAAAAACCGAAAATTTGTCACTAGCAGATCCTCCCTATATAAACACTGAATGAAGTCC